CAGAAAAAACAGACAGAGAGACATATAGATAAACAGACAGACCAACAGACAGACAGAAAGATAGACAGACAGACAGACAGATAGACAGAAAGATAGATAGACGGGCAGACAGACAGACAGAAAAATAGATAGACAGAAAGATGGATAGACGGACAGACAGACAGATAGAAAGATAGATAGACAGATGGACGGACGAACGGACGGACGGACAGACAGACAGACAGACAGACAGACAGACCGGCAGACAGATAGACAGACAGACAGACAGACAGACAGACAGACAGACAGACAGAAAAAACAGACAGAGAGACATATAGATAAACAGACAGACCAACAGACAGACTGAAAGATGGACAGACAGACAGACAGATAGACAGAAAGATAGATAGACGGGCAGACAGACAGACAGAAAGATAGATAGACAGAAAGATGGATAGACGGACAGACAGACAGATAGAAAGATAGATAGACAGATGGACGGACGGACGGACAGACAGACAGACAGACAGACAGACAGACAGACAGACAGACAGACAGACAGACAGACAGACAGACAGACAGACAGACAGACAGATAGATAGATAGATAGATAGATAGATAGATAGATAGATAGATAGATAGATAGATAGATAGATAGATAGATAGATAGATAGATAGATAGATAGATAGATAGATAGATAGATAGATAGATAGATAGATAGATAGATAGATAGATAGATAGATAGATAGATAGATAGATAGATAGATAGATAGATAGATAGATAGATAGATAGATAGATAACCACAGACAGACAGAAAAAAATGACAGACAGAAAGATAGAAAACTGTTCAGACCGACAGAAAAACAGACAGACAGGCAGACAGAACAAATAGGCTGACAGGAAAAATGACAAAAATAGACACACTGATGAAAAATAGATGTACAGAAAAAGACAGACAGACAGACAGACAGATAGAGAGACAGATAGAGAGACAGAAACACAGACATAAAAACAGACAGACATTAAATCAGACAGACAGAAACACAGACGGACAGACAGAAACACAGACGGACGGACGGACGGACAGACAGACAGAAAGATAGACAGACAGACACATAAAAAGATAGACAGACAGACAGACAGACAGAAAAATAGATAGATAGATAGATAGATAGATAGATAGATAGATAGATAGATAGATAGATAGATAGATAGATAGATAGATAGATAGATAGATAGATAGATAGATAGATAGATAGATAGATAGATAGATAGATAGATAGATAGATGGACAGACGGACGGACGGACGGACGGACGGACGGACGGACGGACGGACGGACGGACGGACGGACGGACGGACGGACAGACAGACAGACAGACAGACAGACAGACAGACAGACAGACAGACAGACAGACAGACAGACAGACAGACAGACAGACAGACAGACAGACAGACAGACAGACAGATAGATAGATAGATAGATAGATAGATAGATAGATAGATAGATAGATAGATAGATAGATAGATAGATAGATAGATAGATAGATAGAAAAAATGACAGACAGATAGAAAAACAGAGAGACCGGCACACAGACAGACAGATAGATAGACAGAAAAAACTCACAAACAGACAGAGAGACAAAAGAGACAGAAAAAAGAGACTGATAGGACAGGCAAAAAATGACAAAAATAGACACACTGATGAAAAACAGAAGTACAGAAAAATACAGACAGACAGACAGACAGAAACACAGACAGACAGACAGGTATGTTTGAGTCCACTGGAAGGATATTGGGCCAGAAGAGCGGGGCACAGCTGACTGTTGGGCATGAAAACACAGTGCATGAGCACAAAGTCATCAAGAGCTGGATCTGCGGGAGAAACATTTGCAGAATCATTCAAATGCACTAATACAGCTTTGAAAGATGATTTAAATGATAATAATATCTATACTGTAGATCAGATCAAATCAAACTCTTAATCTTATTGGTGAATGAAGATGAATAGCACATTAATGAAACACTAGTACTTAAAACTAACCATTTTTATTTTATAGGCACAACTGCTTTTCAACTATTGTATGTTACGATTAGTCAATGACCTGGGTCAGAGAAATGAATGTCCAGTCGCATTGTCTCCAGCAGATGCTCCAGAATCTTCTCAGGGCTGCCTGACATCACAGTGTATCTATACAACACAACACACACACACACACACACACACACACACACACACACACACACACACACACGCACACACGCACACACGCACACACACACATAGAGGTTTGAATAAATAACTGAATGACTGGATTTGTTTGTTGTCCATGGGTCAAAACGGTGCAGATAAACTGAAAAGACATACTTGAAGTGGGCTGGGATGTTTCCATGGCTGGAGGGCCGGAGACTCTTCTGTAGTACCAAAACATCCTGCTCATGCTCTTTTAGACGCACCGTGTTTGCTTCAACATCCTAAAAACACATGAACACAAACCAAAATACATGTGACCAAGAAATACAGCCTCATCTGATTCAAAGATTCACTAATGAATCATAATAGCAGTGTTTGGTTTCGTCTATGGAGTCAATCTAGGGCCATATACACTTGCAAAATAAAAAAAAGTTTTGCAAACAAAAAATAAAGTGTTAAGCAAAAAAACAAAACAAAAAACTAAATAAATAAATGCAATTCTCCAAATATCACTAAGCAAATATTTATTTTTGATAAATAAAAATACATTTTGCTAACAAAAGTAAAGAACTGCAAAGGAAAAATTACATTTTGAGAAATAAAGATGAAATTTGCAAACAAAAAAGAACTGCAAATAAAAATTAAGGAGTGCAAAGAAATTAAAACATTTGCAATAAAAAAATGTTTGCAAAACATTTTTATTGGATTGCCTTTACAAAAACCTGTCCAGTCAGTTGCAATGCTCATTTTGATTTACTTTTAAGTCAACCGTGAGTTTGCAATGCTGGTTTCCCTTTGCACTTCACGTTTCTGCGCGTTACACTTTGTGACCCTGATTTGACAAGTGGTGCGGAGTCAAGGGAACTTGGGCGTTTACGGCAGGCATGGACACAGTGGGCTATAAGACCACTTCGGTGATACTTTGTCTCTAGTTGATGACTTCGCTTAAATGGAGGCAGGTTCGGGCCTGTCGTAAATGCCCAAGCTTTCTTGACTCCGCTCCCTTGTCATCAAAATGAGCATTGCAATTGACTGGACAGGTTTTGTAAAGGCAATGCTATAAATAATGTTTTTGCAAATATATAGTTTTTTTATTGCAAATATATTCTTTTTTTCTTGCACTCCTTGATTTATTTTTTTGCAGTTTTTTATTTTTGTTAGCAAAATTAATTTTTATTTCTCAAAACCTAATTTCCGCATTGCGATTTTTTGAGAATTGCACTTATTTATTTATTTTTGCTCAATACTTTATTTTTTTGTTTGCAAAACTTTCTTTTATTGTGCAAGTATGCAGATGAAGTCATAATTATTAGCCCCCCTTTGAATTTTTTTTTCTTTTTTTGAATATTTACCAAATTATGTTTAACAGAGCAAGAACATTTTCAAAGTATGTCTAATATTTATATATATATATATATATATATATATATATATATATATATATATATATATATATATATATATATATATATATATATATATATATATATATATTTCTGGAGAAAGTCTTATTTGTTTTATTTCGGCTAGAATAAAAGCAGCTTTTAATTTTTTAAAAACTGTTTTAAGGTCAAAATTATTAGCCCCTTTACGCTACATTTGTTTTTGATAGTCTACAGAACAAACCATCATTATACAATAACTTGCCCAAACCTGCCTAGTTAACCTAATTAACCTAGTTAAGCCTTTTAATGTCACTTTAAGCTGTAGAAGTGTCTTGAAAAATATCTAGTATATCTAAAATATCTAAGGAAGGACTGAACAAACTGAGGAAGGAAAAGAAGGAAGGAACGAACAAATTAATGAAGGAAGGAACAGAAAATATGAACGAAAGAACAAATGAATGAGCGAACAAATGAAGTAAGGACCAAATGAAGGAAGGAAGGAACAAGTGTATGAGGGAAGAACAGAACAAAGGACCTAATGAAGGAAGGAACAAAATTATAAATGAACAAACAAAGGACCTAATGAAGGAAGGACTTAAGGAAGAACTGAACGATCTAAGAAAGGAATGAACAAATGAACAAAGGACCTAATGAAGGAAGGAACAAAAATATGACTGAGCGAACAAATGAAGGGAGGAACAAAGGAAGGACCAAATGAATTAATGAAGCAAGGAAAAAACAAACAAACAATGGAAGAAAGGTTGGAAGGAACAAATAAATATAGGAAGTTTGAAGATCACTAAATGCACTACAGAATGTTACGTTTACACATCCCTGCACAGACTGCATGTACACGCATCAGTTTTTCACAGAGTAATACTCACTACTCACTACTCTTGAGTACTTTTTGAAAAAGCTACTTTTTACTCATACTTTGAGTAATATTTACAACAGATACTTTTACTTTACTTGCACTACATTTTCAGGCAAGTAATGGTACTTTTACTCGAGTATGACTTTTCAGTACTCCTTCCACCACTGACTATGAGTAACTTTGCAGATTTTAGCTAAAAAAGTGCTGTAGCATAGATGCAAGTAAATCAATCATATTTAATGTTAAACCGGCTTGTCATAATGTCTGAGCAGCACTATAGGAGACAGAAGTTTGTGTAGTGTGTACCCTGAGTATACGGTTGAAGTCCTCTTTGTCCACCCTCAGGAAGTGGCAGTTGTCCTCTCTCAGCACGATGGAAGCGGCGCGGGGGGCGTCATTTACCAGCGCCAGTTTGCCAAAATCATCTCCCTCATGCAGCGTACAAACCACACCCTACACACACACACACACACACACACACACACACACACACACACTGATCTAATATTTGCCACTATTTATGAAATCATTAACATTAATGTAAGTAAACATGAAAGCTGACATTACCTTGCCATAGATGACAACATTTACTGATCCTTTCTGGATAATATACCAAGAAGTGCCTTCCTCCCCTTGATTAAACACTGAAATTCAGAGAGCAAACATACAGACATACATGTGGGTGTCTGACAATTGAAAATAGATTGGGTAGCAGATATCGCAGCCTCTGTTACTTTTTACCCTGCACTTTTTTTTTATAACATTTATTATTATTTATTTAGGATGTGCTTTATTTAGCCTTATTATTAAATCGTTAAAATGAATTAAATTCAATTAAATAATCTCAACAATAAAATATTAAGTGTTCTTTGGAAGAGTGTTTCTTACATTGTGATGATATTATATTGTCATTCTGGCATTGTATAACGAGTGGCATAAAATAGTCTTAAAATGACAATAATATTGGTTATCGCAATATATTTTGGTGCAATATATATCGTACAACAAAAAACAGATATTGCGACAGGATGAAAACTGATTTGAGCTTTTGGATCAACTTAATATAGCCTTGATGAGCATTTATTTTCTTCCTAAATATTAAAACATCTTATTGACATAATAATTATATTCACAACGTTATATCAACTAAGTAAAAGAGCATTAAAGAGCCATTGAAACTCACAGACAGTGCCTGCTTTGGCGTGTGACTCAAAGATGAGGACACCGGCGAGCTCTCTCTTCACCTGCAGAGGGCAGCACCATCACAGATCATTTTAACATGTTCAAACAGCACGGGGCATTACTTGTGTAAATGACTCTGGAGGGATGCTCTTACAGTGTTGGACAGGTGAGAGACAGCTTTGATATGCAGCAGCTCATCATAAATAATCTCCAGGTCTTCAGCTGTTCTTTGACCAGGCCTAAAATTAGAGCGAGGGACAAAGAAAGAAAGGAAGGGGGGCAAAAAAAGTAGTTCAGCACTGGGTGAAAATAGGCAATAGCAGAATATCAGGGCAAACAGATTGGATAAACCATGTTGTAGAGTATTCTTCCTTTCTTAATTAAATCCAAAGTGAAAATTAAAATAAAGTCACCATGAAAATATATTGACTTAAAATGTGTTTTAATTGTTGCAAATTGCACTTGCTTTGAAAAATAGTATAGTTAAAGTGTACTCTATTTCAGTACACTAATTAATTTTATTAATGTATTAATTAATTTTAATATATTATATTAATTGTAATATATTATAACATTATATTAATTAACTTTAAAATATTATACTATCGAATATAATAAAATATTAGTTCACCTCTTAATAGTATACTTTTCAGATCTGAAGTACCAAAAAGTGAACTTTTAATACAGTTAAGCATAGTTATTTATCCCTATCACAAGGGATAGTTCACCCAAAAAAGAAAATTACCCTTCATTTATTCACCTTCATGTGGTTTTAAACCTTTATGGGTTTCTTTCTTCTGTTGAACACAAAATAGGAGATTTTGAAGAATGATGGTTGCTGGAACCCAACAACTTCCATTATAGGGAAAACAATTACCATGTAAGACAGCTACCAGCTTTTAAAAATATCGTCTCTCGATTTAAACACAAGAAAAAATAGAACTCAAATAGAGGTTTTAAACAAATGAAGTGTGAGTTAATGATGACTAACAATGAGAATTTAAATTTAGCAAAGACGGTTGACGTTTAGCCACAAGATGGCGACAGAGACTGCATGATAAGCCCTTAGTGAAGAAAAACAGCACTTCTTCAGCGTACGTTTCAAACTACAGCTGAACAAATCATTACAGAACAGGTAAGTGAAATTTTAAGAACTCTCTCTTTTGTATGTTATAGTGCTGTAGTTATATCATAGTAATGTGGTAGTGTTTGCTTTGCTTTGGCTTTTTCTGGATTAATTACTGTGATCTCTCGATTACAAAAGAGAAATGCTGGGAAATCTGTGTAGATTGATGGCATATGCCGTAAATATTTCATGCCGATCAGCCTTATAATCTTTAAATGTCAGCAAAATCACCTGTTTTGTCATCACTTTAGACATTACGCTAAAGAATCATTCAAATACTAGCTCTAAAGTGACGTTTGTGAACGGTTTCAGCTGTTCTGACATCGGCTGCAGATGTGTAAGATTGACAGAAGGAAGTAGTTCCTCTTACAAAAGGGGTTTTTGGACTCTCTGTGTTTGATTTCTTTTTTATATACATGATTATGCCGTTGAACTGTTATATAAATGCAATATCTCACGAGTAACAGTGCGATGTGGCTGTATGTCAGCACTGATTGGACACCAGTGTCGATATACAGCCATATTTTTAAGCTACTCCTGTGATATTACTCATGCATGTGGCGTGTTGTGAAAGTCTTTCATTTTGTTTATGTTTCTTTGATTTAAATTTTAATTATCTGTGGAAATTTTGCTTTTGATGCGTTTTTTCCTGTAATTGTAATTTACAAATGCAAAAAAAAAAAAAAAAAAAATTTAACATTTTTAATGCACCCAGCGGGCGGCGCGGTGGTTCACTCACGGTTTCCTGAGGATCATGCGCATGTGCGCGTCAGGGCCAATCTGAGAGAGGAAGAGGAGTGTCTCCTGCAGCTCTTCCTCAGCTTCGCGTTTCTCATCGTCGCTAGGCAACACCGCATCCTCCTCCTCATCGTCGAGGAAACGGTAAAAGAGGTACTTATCTTGAAAGTTGAGTTCATGGTCGACTGCCCACATAACGAGAAAGAAAAGTAGAGATAAAGAGATGCTTTAATTGGAGTCAAGTTAATGAGGTTGTTTTGTCAAACTTTGAGAGGGTCATTCCTATTATAAAGTGTAGAAATCAAACAGCAAGAGCTGAGCAAATAGCACTGAGTAGAATTAAAACTTAAAGGAATAATTCACCCAACAATTAAAATTCTGTCATTGTTTACTTTATGAGATTCATTCATTCATATTTCTTTTTTCGACTTAGTCCCTTTTTTAATAAGGGGTCGCCGCAACGGTATGAACCGCCAACTTATCCAGCACATGTTTTATGCAGCGGATGCCCTTCCAGCTGAAACCCATCTCTGGGAAACATCCATACACATCATTTACACACATACACTACACCTTAACCTGATTGAACACCTTTAAGGTAAATCATAGCATAATGTGATCCTTTCCATCTAACATCCATGCGGTTCTAGAAAAATAGTCAAGATATCCTATAAACACACTCTTAAAATTTGTAGAAGGGATGAAGCTGTTTAAGCACATACTGTACAAGTAAAGACAGATGTCTCAAAAACTTCTGCCAATACAGTGTATGTGCTTAGCTTTTTTTTATTATGTGGATAACAATACAAACTTTAATTTATTTCACCCCAAAATAAGTTTAGGTCCTGTTTTTGCAACGTTTTCAAATCTGGTTAAAGGGATAGTTCACCCAAAAATAAATAAAAAATACTCCCTAATCACCCTCAATTGATTAGAAAGCTTTATGAGTTTCTTTCTTTTGTGAAACACAAAATAAGATATTTAGAAAAATGTTGCAAACATGTAACCATTGACTTTCATAGCAGGAAAATCAGTCCCACTTTATATTAAGTGGCCTTAAAAAATATGTACTTACACAAGAATTAATAGTTTGTTAAAATGTACTTATTGTGTATTTACTGTGTACTTATGCTTGATTAAATACCTATATGTAATTACACCTGTAACTAACTTCTGTAATTACATTTGTAAATACACTGTTGACCATCCCTTACACCTTAACCCACCCTTAAACCTACCCATACCACCAAACCTGTTCATAACCCAACCCCTATACCAACTTAGGAGCACCACAAGTGTACTCAAATACATTTTGAACACAGTAAGTACATTGTATTTATTTTTTTGATACAAGTATATAGTAGTTAAGGACACTTAATATAAAGTGGGACCGGAAAATCAAATACTGAAAGTCAATGTTTACAGGTTTTCGGTTTTAAGGCTTTCAGCTTGAGCAAATAGGGAGCATTTATTATTTATTTTTTAGGTGAACTATCTCTTTAACCAGATTTGAAAAAGGTTGCAAAAACTAAATCTAAACTTATTTTTGGGTCAATTACAATCATAAAAATTTGAATTGACCCAAATCTTCTATAGTAATTCTAGAACTAATGTTGGATGGAAAGGCTCATATTCATTCATTCATTCATTCATATATTTTCATTTGGCTTAGTCCCTTTATTAATCTGAAGCCACCACAGCGGAATGAACCGCCAACTTATCCAGCACATGTTTTACACAGCGGATGCCCTTCCAGCCCCAACCCATCACTGGTAAAACACTTATACACTCTCATTCACGCTTATACACTATAGACAATTTTAGCTTCCCCAATTCACCTGTGCTGCATGTCTTTGGACTTGTGCGGGAAACCAGAGCACCGGGAGGAAACCCACGCAAACGCGGGGAGAACATGAAACTCCATACAGAAATGCTATCTGACCAAGCCGACTACTACCTACTAGGACAGCACTGCCTACTGCGCCACCACATTGCCCGGAAAGGCTCACATTATCTGCTGTTTTTTTATCTCAAAAGTGTTCAGGGTGGAGGTCAGGAAATGTTTGTACACATTTTATACACTTGTGGCTAAATAGAAGAGATTGGAACACTTGAATGCAATGATTTGTAAGAGTGTCCTAAAACATTTGGCAATATAGTGTATGTATTTAAAATTTATGCACTGTAAAAAAAAAAGATCATGTCATGTAGGTGACACGGTGGCTCAGTGGGTAGCACTGTTGCCTCACAGCAAAAAGGTCGCTGGTTCAAGTCCCGGCTGAGTCAGTTGGCATTTCTGTGTGGAGTTTGCATGTTTTGTGTGTGAATAAGTGTGTATGGGTGTTTCCCAGTACTGGGTTGCAGCTGGAAGGCCATGGCGACCCCTGATTAATAAAGCCAAAGGAAAATGAATAAATAAATGAAAATGTTTTTTTTATGTTACTTTAACTAATATTGATGAGTTAATCAGGTTTTAACTCATTTTTCTTGTTATACAATGTTTAATTTAATATTTGTTTAGGTTGAGATGAAAAATACCTTTGATTTAACAAAAAAAAATGTAGGCAGCAATATTTTTTTACAGTGTGTCTAAAAATATAAACATTTATACATCAAAATTTACATCAAAAATGAAATTTAAATTAAAGAATGTGTTTTTATACACACATAAAGATGAAATGCATTGTAGAAACCACCCTATAGATGAATCTTTTAGTGTGCTGTTAATCTGTGTGGCAATACAGCAGATTGCAGGTATGTTTGTTTATTTGTTTGTTTGTTTGTTGTGTACCGTGATTCAGAACTCCTTCCTCCAGCAGCACCTGCCACATTCCCACAGCATGAGCCCGACTGTGAACACATGAGCTCTGCTGAAGCAACCAGTCCACCAGCTCAGTGCCCACACAACACTGCCTGCAAACACACACACACACACACACACAAACACGCACGCACACAAACACACACACTAAGATCAATTTCAACACATGCACTGCTGATTCTGCAGATACTGCGGCATAAGTAAATAAACTGTGCATTTGACAGGGTACTTGACATTTAAGACACTGCAGGCAACAAACAATTTTAACATTTTGAACTTTTTAGCTTTTCATAAAGGGCTTTTATTCAGATGTAAAGAAAACATCCAAAATACACTTTTAAAGTTTTTTTTGTCACACTTTATCTGTCTGTGCTTGTAGATTTCACTTATTATTGCATATTTGGACAGAATTTTTTCTTAAAACTGATCCATAAATGTCTATTTTCGCAGATATACCAGTGTTGTTATATCGGCATGTATTGTATTATAGCATATCTGTTTTATTTGTTTTCTGAAGGTTTTTACCATAGAACATTGTTAATGAATAATTTGCATGATTATATAAACATTTTAGCTAGAAATGCATTCAAAAACATGAAATAATACACAATTTGCCTATTTAAATATAACATTTAGAAAACTTCAATATCAAAAATGCATCTCTTAATGTAATCAATCAGTCAGTCAGTCAGTCAGACAGTCAGTCAGTCAGACAATCAACCAGTCAAACAATCAATCAATCAATCAATCAATCAATCAATCGACCAACCGACCGACCAACCAATCAACCAACCAATCAACCCATCGACTAACCAAATCAATCACTCCATCACTCAATCAATCAATAAATCAATCAATCAATCAATCAATCAATCAATCAATCAATCAATCAATCGACCAACCGACCGACCAACCAATCAACCAACCAATCAACCCATCGACTAACCAAATCAATCACTCCATCAATCAATCAATCAATCAATCAATCAATCAATCAATCAATCAATCAATCAATCAATCAATCAATCAATCAATCAATCAATCAATCAATCAATCAATCAATCAATCAATCAATCAATCAATCAATCAATCACAACAGTATGAACCATTATAGGGTTAGTCTAGTGTGTATATATATTATCTGTAAACCTCACCCCCACCCCCCTAAAACACCCCTGTAATTCACACCCTGGTTACCTTGAAAGTCGCAAGCAACACACACCTGTATGTTTTCAGATGATATTTTCTGTCTCTGATCATGTGGGGAGCTCTGGCCAGTATTGCATTACGTAACACTTTTTCTGCCCTCAAAATCTTTTCTGACGGCACCTAAAGCAAAGAGAGAGAGAGAGAGAGAGAGAGAGAGAACACTCACAAATGGCCTATTTTTACATCTGTGACCACACACACACATTCATTGTGATTTAGTCATCTGCACTCGATCGCTAGCGTAAATCATATTAAAGATCTTTTTGTTAGAAGAGGATGTGTAATTTTGTATATTAATTAAACAAAATTTGTATAAAATTGAGGTGGCGGTCTTGAGTTATGTGCATAAAGATTACAGTTAGTGCATGGTTGATCTTGGAACAACATTCCAAACAGCCAATCAGATTAAAGGAACAAGTTTATAGTTTAGGCCTACACAGAAAAATTAAAATGCTTATTTGGATTTACTAATGTTTTTAAGGTACGCGGTTGCAAATTATTTATAGGGGCTGAATTAAACTAACTAATAATATTTTGTAATATTCAACTTAATATGTTTGTTTAAATTCAGCCCATATAAACTTTCACTTTTGCAACTACATACCTAAAAAACATTAGTAAATCCAATTAAGCATTTTCTTCAGTGTACAGTTAGGATTATGTGCTTCTACGTCTTTGTTATCCAACTAATAATTCCTTCTGATACTGGAAAGTGGATCAGGTGTGGATTGTATTTTTTAACTAAAATAAATGTTAATGCAGGATCACATCCACTGATAATTTAGAAAACAGTAACATTTTACACATAGGCAAACACTTATGATAAGAAGATTAAATTGACCATAAATTGTGAAATAAAGTGATGGTAAAGACATTTAGAATTTTACAATAAAGGTATATTAACCCTGCAGCATTTATAAATTTAAATATTCTCAATCAAAGCATCCTGAAAAAATGGATTCAGATATTAAGCTGCATTGATGTTATTTATTCCTGTCAATCCTATTCCTGTCAGTCACTGTAAAAAATACTGTAAAATGGATTAATTTACAGTGCGCTTGTAAATTTACAGTATTACTTGCAACTAAAATTGCCAGTAAGTTACTATAACTTTTACCGTATATTGTAATTGTTAATTTACACTGTGCTCATAACTTTGCAGTCTTACATGCAACCAAAATTGCCAGTAAGTTACTGTAAATTTTACAGTAAGTTAATTTACAATGTGCTCGTAAATTTACAGTCTTACTTTCAACCAAAATTGCAAGCTACTGTAAATTGTATAATAAATTGGTGGATTTACTGTCTTACTTGCAACCAAACTTACCAGTGTGTTACTGTCAATTTTACAGTTAATTGTTATTGTTAATTTACACTGTGCTCGCAAATTTACAGTCTTAGATGCAACCAAATTGCCAGTTACAGTTAATTTTACAGTAAATTGTACTTATTCATTTACAATGTGCTCCTGAATTTACAGTTTTACTTTCAACCAAATTTTCCAGTAAGTTACTGTACATTTTACTGTAAATTGTAATTGTTAATTTATAGTGTGCTTGTAAATTTACAGTCTTGCAACCAAAAGTGCCAAAGTTACTGTACATTTACAGTATGTTGTTTACAGTGTATATTATGTATTATAGTAACACCTTTTTGTGAAATCACTAGAACTTTTACCATTTTTAGAACCTTTTCATTTCACAAAACACTCTTAATAGTGCAAAACGTGTTTCTTTAAATGATAAAATGTGTATTTTAAGAACTTTTCATTAAAATGGTATCACTGTAAAAACCCTTTTTTGTTTCTTCTGTGCACATTTTACGAGTACCAAGAAAAAATCATGCAGAAAATTATAACATCACAAGAAAAAATCACAACGTAAAGAAAAAACTGCTTGTTTTATTCATTCATTCATTCATTCATTCATTCATTCATTTTCTTTTCGGCTTAATCAGGGGTAGACACAGCGGAATGAACCCCCAACTTATCCAGCACGTTTTTACGCAGCAGATGCCCTTCCAGCCGCAACCCATCTCTGGGAAAACCTGCTATTTTAATTCTAACAAAAAAAGCTGTTAAAAAAATATTCCTGGAATTTTTGGTTAAATAAATGTAGAAGTATTGAAAAGCTTTCTAATACATTACAAAATCATATACATGCAGTTTATGACCCTTTGAAAACAGTACATAGATATGCAAAAACAACCAACACAGACATCAATCATACCTTATTCAGGTTTTTTGACATAAAATTGAGAGGATCGTTGCTGAGATTGTCTTTGTCCGGCATTCCTGCATCACAAAGAAAGAAATGCTTCAGAAACAATCCCCGATGTTTAACGCGAGTGTAAGCTAGCATGTCATACTCACTATCATTAGTCGCTCCACTGTCCATCACTCCATACGGCGGAGCAAGAAGCCCTGCCATGCACTGCCTGTATTTCTGCAAAGCAAAGATTTATTTCAGATAAAAATTCTGCTGAGTCATCACAGGTGAACTGCCTTCACATTACACTGAAAGAGATGTAGTGAAAATGCTGAGCGCCGCCAATCACGCTCTTTTTGTGGCTTGGCAATGATGGCTATGAATATTCAGATGTTTTCATTCCTCTGCATATCACCATGGTGACGAGGTACATGCAGCTGAGGAACAGCAGTCCGTGAATGAAACACTGACGGAAGATTCATCTACAATTCAGACACCCATTATACTGCACTTTTTCAAGAAAACCTCTATTCCGAATGGCTCAGAAATCAGTTTATTTGTCATGAATAGAGTTTTATGAGTAAATAATTTTGTTAATTACTATTTTTGATGCCTAGTTTTCCTCAATATAATTTAATCCTCCATTAAAAATTATAATTAAATTAAATAATAAAATTAAATAATAAAATAAAAAAATGAAAATAAATTAAATATTAAAAATGTAATTAAATAACAAAACTAAAATAAAGAAAAATAATACAAATATTTTTTATTTAAATTAATAATAAGAAAACAATCAAATGAGTTTTTTCAAGAAAACCTCTATTCTGAATAGCTTAGAAATCAGTTTATTCTGCATGAATAGAGTTTTATGAGTAAATTATCATAATTATAAATTATAATAATTATAATTATAAAATTTGTATTTTTGTTGCCTAGTTTTCCTCAATATAATTTAATCATTCATTAAAAATTTTAATACAATTAAATAATACAATTAAAATTGAATAATAAAATTAAAATGTTTAAATAAAATAAATATTAAGAATAAATTTAAATAATAATAAAATAATTACTTAAAATATATTTTTTATTAAAATTAAAAATAAGAAAACAATCAAATGAGTTTTTTTTTTCATAAAAACCTCTATTCTGAATGGCTTAGAAATCAGTTTATTTGGCATGAATAGAGTTTTATGAGTATACTTTTAGAGTATTTTTGTTGCCTAGTTATTCCTCAATAGATGTTTAATCCTCCATTAAAAAGAAGAAAAATAAAGATTAAAAAGTCAATTTTGGGCATTTTTGCTAATTAAATGTATTTATTTCTCTAAAATAAAGAACCTACCCACAAATACTGTAGTTAAATGTATTTTTTTTTCTTTATTTTGAAAATTTTCAGAAAAACATTCTACAATGCTAAAGGTTGCTACTAAGCTGTTATCAGAGTCCAGAGTATACTTCAGTCTTCTATGTGCTGTCTGTTAGCAAATGGAGCATACAGTGCAACTTTATATATGTTAACATTTAAATAAAAAACTATGGAATATACTTTGATGGTAAGATATTTACATTATTTCCAGAATATACCGTTTAAGTCAGAATTATATGCCCTCCTGAGTTATTTTTGCCTAATTTCTTTTTAACAGAGAAAAGATTTTTTCAACATAATACATAAAACATAATAGTTTTAATAACTCATTTTCTAATAACTTATTTGTTTTATCTTTTCTATGAACACAGTACACAGTAGCATTTAAAGGCTTAACTAGGTTCATTAGACAAGTTAGGGTAATTAGGCAAGTCATTGTATAATGATGGTTTGTTCTGTAGACTATCAAAAAAATATTGCTTAAAGGGGCTAATAATATTGACCTTAAAATGGTTTTATAAAAATTTAAAACTGCTTTTATTCTAGCCGAAATAAAACAAATAAGACTTTCTCCAGCAGAAAAAATATTATAGGAATTATTGTAAAAAAATTCTTGCTCTGTTAAACATTATTTGAGAAATATTTAAATAAGACAGTAAATCCTAGGAGGGCTAATCATTGTGACTTCAACTATATATTGACTCTAACCTACAGTTAAATTCAGAATTATTTGCCCCTGAATTATTTTGTTTTCTATTATAAATATTTCCCAAATGATGTTTAACAGAGCAAGGAATTTTTCACAGTATGTCTGATATTATTTTTTTCTTCTGGAGAAAGTCTTATTTGTTTTATTACGACTAGAATAAAAGCGATTTTACATTTTTTTAAAAAACATTTTAAGGTCAAAATTATTAGCCCCTTTAAGCTACATTTGTTTTCGATAGTCTACAGAACAAACCATCGCTATACAATAACTTGCCCAAACCTGCCAAGTTAACCTAATTAACCCAGTTAAGTCTTTAAATTGCACTTCAAGCTAAATACTAGTATCTTGAAAAATATCTAGTCAAATATTATTTACTGTCATCATGACAAAGATAAAATAAATCAGTTATTAGAGATGAGTTAATAAAACTATTATGTTTAGAAATGTGTTGATAAGACATCTTCTCTCCATTAAATAGAAATTGGGGAAATAAATAAACAGGGGGGCTAATAATTCTGACTTCAACTGTATATGTACTCTGACCTATTTCAGAAACAAGCACAGACAAGTTATATTCATAAGCATCCACAAAGAGGGAAATTATTTATGTCAGACAGAAACAAGTACTGTATATTTTTGTAACTCCACTAGATCCATCAGCGCTCTGATGTAATACAGACGCACTGAGCCTTTATTAACTTCAAACGCAGTACACGGCTCATGAGGTAGTGTGTTTCCATTCAGCAGAAAGGACTGAGTGTCTAGAGGACATACAGTACTCTATGAAATAAATAGGAGTGGGGAAAAACAGATTCACATTTGAATCGGAAATCCATCTTCTAGTGATTGACATTAATGACATCATCCTGGTGTGCACAAGCCTTTAAAATTCATTTAAAATGTCTAGATGCATTTGTGTGATTTTTTTTCCCTCAAAGCATAAAGTGACAATTGTAGTCAACACTAACCAGCAAACTGAAATATAATCTAAACCTAGATCACATTTGAAAAAATTTATTCAAAATTGATATCTTCAGATCAGGTCTTCAAGTATTGATTTGTAGCAAATCATGAGGTTCCACCCACATAGATAAAGTGAACTGACTGTTTAAAGTAACCCAGGCTCATTCTGAAAACGTATCACTACATACATTTCTGCAGCGTGCCAAATACATCTCAGAAGATATATATTTTTGCAGTTTTTGTTTTCATGAATCCACCAGAGGCCACTCTGTATGGTTTTTGAGAGCTCAAGTTTCTCTCGTGAGTACCATTCGAGCCTGCTATTCTCACGTAAATCCACCAGAGGCCACTGTCGACTGACTGACTGACTGGTCGACTGACTGACTGACTGACCGACTGACCCACCCTTTTCCATCCCTAAACCCAACCAGTAGTGTTTTTAAATCAACGATTGACCAGTGCCCATCCACTTCCTCAAAACCAACCAACAGTTTTAAAAATCCAATCCAGAAAGAGAAAAGCCCTCGCCAGATTTTTTCCTCATTTTCAGATTTTACCACATTCTCACCCTGATATTTACTTGTTTATTTTATTTTTTTGCTTCTTTTTTTGACTTCTAAAACCGTTCTTCGCCGGACTTGAATTCCGTTGTTGTGGTCAACTCCTCCCTGCATCTCAAGTTTTCCAGCGTACAAGGCAAGCTAATTGGACAAATAGGTAACAGCGGGAAAGCTGTCCACATGAAGTTAAGCAGTCAGCTGGTAAGAGCAAAAAGGTACGCCGTCATACTGCCCCATATTCGTTTTAAAAATGAAATGCAGCCATACGTACCCCTGGCTACATAATTCACGATCTCCAGAAATGTATACAGGGCTACGTTTTCAGAATGAGCCTTTGTTGGTTTAAATGAATCATCTGTTGAACTGCATCCCAATCATCACAAATACTGCAGAAGACCTATTAGAACCCACATGAACCCAAGATTCTCATAGGAATCAGTCAAGTTCGGTGAAGGAAAAATCATGGTTTGGGGTTACATTCAGTACAAATGAAACTATACTTATTTTGTTAGCTCACTAAATTAGTTAGCTCTTATAATCTTAAAAATGCACTTCCTGTTTGTTTGCAGTTCAGTTCTCAGATTACGTGATTATGAGGTATTGGGTGTGGCTAACACACTTAACCACGCCCCTCCAACTGTCAGTTTTGACAACAAACAGAAATGGCGAGGAGGAGGTGTCTGTAAGGTTGTAATAACTCTCCCCAAACCCTTTTCCCGATCTTTCTGAATGAAATGCCTACTTTACTACATCCAATCAGCTTGCAGTAGAAAAACAAGCCACACCCACTGTTTTCCCTTTTAATATTCAGTTTCTCTAGTAACTGTCACAATACAAACAAAAAACAGGATTGCAACATCAGAGTTAAAACAGTTGATTTTCTTTGGCCATTGATTTGTAGACTTTGTCTCGTTTGCACAAATGCGCTTTGTATATCCTGTTTCCTTCCTGTTTCCTGAAGCCTAAACAAAAGCTAACTTTTTCTTAACTTCTCCCTTCCTCCTCTACACACACACACACACACACACACACACACACACACACACACACACACACACACACACACACACACACACACACACACACACACACACACACACACACACACACTTTCACACACAGAATAACGCATTGTTGTTCTTTCCAGCTGGCTGCTTCCACATAGGTTAAGTGATTCAGCCAGGATTATGCAATTAACAGCATATAAACACATAGAGCAAGTGTATTTGGTGGCTCTGTGGCCGGTCAGGCGGTGCCCCCTGCAGCCTGGCACAGAACTGACCCAGAGACGCAGAAAGAGCTCTCAGCATTCAGGACACATCCTCAGCTTTCAGCGGCTGAGATTCACCTCAGCACAGGCCTCTTTATCAGCTCATTCACATCCTATCAGAAACACCACACACTGGTTGTGTTTTTGAACCATCTTTGGGTCAAAACATGGGCAAGCACACGAACTATGTTTGAATTAGAATTAAAAGCAGTTCTGACTGAATGTGTGAGCAGGTTTCCTTTGGCCAGGGATCTAAAGTGTTTGTCGCGTTCACACAAATGCACTTTGTATATCCTGTTTCCTTCCTGCTTCTCATTTAAAGGGACAGCTCACTCCAAAATGAAACTCGCTCCCATGTTAGGT